AACCTAAACCAGCCCATGTGCATTCCCTGGTTTCGCGAATTAAATGACGCAAAAAAATTGTGTATCCAGTTCCAAAACCTATCCATGTTTACCCAAGGTTCAAAGAAAGATTAAGGCAACGTGTACTATTGAAATAATTTTACTGGCTTGACCTAACTACACTCTATCTGCTTTAAATTGTGTAGGAATCTGAAAAAGAAAAAAGTGAATAATTAACACGAAACAGGCCAGTGGAGCCTGTTTCAGCCTGGTTTTCACTTAAAAGTGAGAATCCCTCGCAGTCATTTTTTTAATGCGATTAACCGCGTGTAGTAGCAGGCGGGGAAAGTTGTTTCCGCTTTTTCAACTCGGGCCAATGTCAAGTTCAACTTTCAAACCGTTGGAGACATCGAAGACGCATGTTATAAGTGGAGGCGAACCAAGACACTCTTCATCCGAAGGACCGGGTAAAGGATAAAAAGCCCGATTTGGTTATGTAGGTCAAAGTCGATTTTTTTTTTATTATCTTTTCAGCAATAGCGCTTATTAGTGGCAAATCAGTATAATTTGTGCCCTTTACGAAACGCCTGTCGGTATAATTTGGTAGAAGATAGTGAAACATAATATTAGTCATTAAATTTTTCTGACTTATTGCAACAATAAAAATGTCGGTGTTGTTTCTTTTTATTTAACATTATGTTATTCTTTTTGACTGATAAGGCCCATTTCTTGTTGTTCATGTTTGTGCTGTTTTCATTCAAGACAAAATTTTTTCAGTCGATAAAAAGTCAAGATGTGTATCAATATTATAGCGATATGTATATGTAAAAAAAGGCTCAATCTGTTTACAAAAATATTCACAAAATAAACAATTAGAGGAATATTTGTATTAAAAAAAATTTGTCCATTGATTTTAGAAGGTAGTCTGTTACTAAACTCAAGCTTTACGGTCGCATGGTTTCTCCGTTTCACGGAAAAAAGAATCATGTATATGTAACCTAACACGTTCATAACCTAACCTAAACATTTTTACTCTAACCTTAAATCTAATTCTATTTCTCGCCTAACCCAACTCATGTGCACTTTCGGTAACGCGAAATCGATAACTCGAAAATATTAAAAATTAAATTCAAATTACAAGGAATCGGAAGTTTAGCATTAATGAAAACATCAAGACCAGATAACATGTTGCAATAATTACTGATTCATAAATATGACAAAATAACACTGAATGAACACAGATTATTTCCTAGTATTATTTGGCCAGATAGTATAGTATAACTTATTGGAAATATATATCAAACAAACTCGACTTTCAACATTATCCAGTAACCTAACCTAATCTTATTTCTACAAAACCTAACCTGACCCTACTTAACCCATCCCATGCCTACTTCGCATTAACTGAGAAAAATCGATTACGAAAAATGGCCACGCTCAAAAATGGTATATCCAGCTCAAAAGTATATATATATATAACGGATGTACAACTTGTGTCTGCAAAAATACAATTTTGACTGAAGTTTAATGTACACATTAAAACCAGCTAGCTTGTCGTAATAATTACTGATTAATAAAAATGGCAACATGATATCGCGAGAAAACTCAGCTTCTATTTTGCTAGACAGTTTTAAAACATTAATTTATTGTATTTTAATTCTGTCCAGTAACCAAACCATTCATTGTACCAACCTAACGTAACCCAACTCTACCTAACCTAACTAAGTCAAATCAATCTAACCCAACCCTAACCTTACCCCTAATAATGAACACGCTTCGATAGCGCTAACTCGATAATGCGAAAATTATGAGAGAAGACAAGTACATCCAGCCCAAAATCATGGTCATATTAAAAATTTAACCTAACCCTACCTCTAATCATTCTTAACCAAATCTAACTCAACACAATGTAACCTAACCGTACCCTATTCATAAGCATTTCACGGTAACGGAAACTCAATAACGCGAAAATTATAAGGTAAAAAAATTTACTTATCAAAAACTTGTTCAAATTAAAAATCTATCGATGTACAGATCGATCTGAAAAAAGATAGAAACTAACTTCAGTTGTTATTTTTTAGAGGTGAATGTTTTGATAAAAAATTATTGGCAAGTTCTGCTGTCATATCACTGGTGATGGTGAGAAGCCGAACGTTCTGACTGGATGAAAAAGCGAGAAATGGTAGAATAAAATTATAAGATATCATCATATAAACCACCTACAGGTGGATCATCACATATATCAGATTATATTATGTAAATTTGGTGTTGTAGTACGTATTAAAAGTTACAAAAGAGTCGGAAATTTACAATAAAAAAATTGAAATTTTGTACCAGTAAATATTTTTAAGTACCAGTAAGCTCTAAGTTGTTCTATAGGTTAAACTATTCTTATTGGCCCAAGTATTAAATCAGTTTAAAGTGACTTTTTAAGAAAGTGGAAAAAGCTTTTTTTCTAAGCATAACATCGCATTGTAAATATTAATTGGATAATGGGGAATGAAAAGTATTGCAAAGAAAGCTCATATTTTTCTCCCTACTCACAGCCAAAGTATAAATTCCATTTATGGGCATTCAACACTAATTTGTATTCATAATAGCGAGGTATGAGATTTTATGCGTTCACTGCTCGCGCTCGGCTGTTAATCAATTTATTACGGGCTGGCTGAGAATTTCAGGGTCGAAGGTTAATAAGTCTAACTTTGTCCATATTGAACTTAACAACAGCGGGTATATTAGAAATGACGAGGGTAATCAATACTAAGTCCCGTCTCTTCGCCCGGACGATTAGTTTTGAAGAAAAACTTGCTTTTTGTGTTGATTTCATATTTAACCGTTTTGCATTTCGGTTCGCCGATTGACCCCGGGAAGTGTACAAATTCAATAACGATTGTACTTCTTTGTAAGTCCCAGTTACCTAATTGTGGTTTTGTGCTGTTACTTTAATCTAGCCAAAGAATACGGCCCCGAGGTCTAGAACAGGTAATTATGACAAAACAGAAACTATTATTTTGTTCGCGGGGATGGTGATAAAAAATTTTTAAAAAATCTGCAACCGCAGACTGACACCGTTACTTTTGCTGTTATGCTGCAGACCTCTATGAACCCGCAGTCATAAATAAATATTTTAAAGACAAAGTTTTTTTTAACAGATTTAAGCCAATTTCTTGGATCTTTGTTTACAAAACAATCATAAAATGATTTAAAAATTATAAAAAGGATATTTTTCTTTAGAATATATGAGAACAAAAAGCAATATAAAAATACTTTTTTTAAAAAAACGAAAGGTCACGGATAGTTAATAGCTGTGGTTTAGGCAGTTTTTCTACGTCTAATTTTTTTAAATCGTGCTTTTTCATCGGCAGGGTTGTCTTATTTGTAATTAAGTAGGACCGTGAACTGCTAGTCCTGTGTAGCAGGTATCTTCTAGGCGTACACGTCCCTAATTCCAAAGTCCTGTTTCTCTATCTCTTTTCCTTGTTTGGGCCCCGGCCCTAATTGATACCGTACTCCTGAAGCTCGCCTATTTCCCAAACCGACTCGGATCTATTCTGTTTTAATTAAAACGGCCTCCTTTTGACATCGGTAGATCCTCTTGTTTACACTATTCAACCTTATGTTAATAAATACAATTAGCTTAGAACCGCGTGAACGGCTTGCTTTCCAGCTTTGTTTCACCGATTTCTATCATCATTCCGAGTATCACAATTCTAATCTCAACTTATGTTTACCTTAGAGCTTACATGTTGTACTTTATGCCAGATTTCTCTTCGCAAAACAGCATTAATGTTAAACGATATCTGAATAATTAATGTTAAATTGGAGTAAAGTTGTCTTCTCTAAGCTGATTCTTTCTTGGACCATCAGCATATACTTTTTTTGTAACAGAAATATTATTAGAAATGTGTGGTGATTAGTGACCGTTAATCGATAATTATTCAGAAATCGTGAGATGCGGTCTGGTGTGATGTAGGTTTCAGAAAAACATTTCCCTTATCGTGCCAACGTTTCGATCTTTATTGAGATCATCTTCAGGGTTCAAAGTGTTTGTATTCTGGGTAATGGTGCCATAATTGTGTGTCGTGTTGCCCGTGGGCACTCTCAACACGACACGAAAGAATGGCACAATTCACCCAATAAATCGATATTTCATAGTTCTGATTAGCAACAAACTTTAGTTTTAATTTTAAAAATTTATTTTTGTATGTTAAAAGTATAAATTATATAATTAATATATAAATTGATATTTCATAGTTCTGATTAGCAACCAACTTTATTTTTTATTTTTAAAATTTATTTTTGTATGTTAAAAGTATAAATTATATAATTAATACATAAATCGATATTTCATAGTTCTGATTAGCAACAAACTTTATTTTTAATTTTAAAAATTTATTTTTGTATGTTAAAAGTATAAATTATATAACTAATATATAAATCGATATTTCACAGTTCTGATTAGCAACAAACTTTATTTTTAATTTTAAAAATTTATTTTTGTATGATAAAAGTATAATTATATAATTAATATAAATCGATATTTCATAGTTCTGATTAGCAACAAACTTTATTTTTAATTTCACTATTTTTCGTGGTCCGCTTGACCAATTAATATCATACAATTATCTCAACCAAAAACCTTAATTAATTTTAAAAATTTATTTTTGTATGTTATAAGTATGAATTATATAATTAATATAAATCGATATTTCATAGTTCTAAGTTATAATTACTTAGATAAATCTAAAATTCCGAGGTTCTGATTATTAAGAAACTTTATTTTTAACTATAAAATCAAATTTTTTATAGCTAATTCTAATATTATAATCAGGAAGAAACTTTATTTTTTATTGTTGGCTAAAAGTTATGCAATTGGTAAATTTATTTTTCGTAAGTTATGTTATAATTACTTAGATAAATCTAAAATTCCGAGGTTCTGATTATTTGGAAACTTTATTTTTAACTATAAAATTTAATTTTTTATACCTACTTCTAATATTATAATCAGGAATTTTTTATAGGAGGTCCGGACTACGAACTCAAACATTCTGGTTAGTAAGAAACTTGATAATTCTGAATTTTTGTACAGGTAACTAACTAATAATTCAGCGGCCAGATACATTATATTGATTTGCCATTTTGGAAACTTTTTATAAATAATTAGGATGATTCAAGAAGACAATAATCGTCTGCTTACGTTTATTTATAAACGAATTAGTTCTAAAATTCTATTTCGGCTGCTTAATTATCATCGATATTAAAATTGAGTGTCGGTTTTTAAAAGATTTAACCTGAATTGTGCAATTGCTGGTTAGATTATCTGGAGAAAAAAAATCGTATCCTTTTATGGTCAAAAAGGCCTCCTTCTTCTTTTCAGGACTTGTATTGCTTGCGAAATACCGTCAAAACGAATTCTACTCTTGCTTTTTCTTCCATGGTATAATTTGTTAAATTAATTTCTCCACTTATAAATAAACCGATTTGTTAAAACCATTAAAAAGTGGTGAGAAATTAATTTCAAACGTAATATAATAAAACCAGCTGTCACTTATGCAACCAACATACTCGTACTAATTACTTATAATTGGTCGGGTACTTCTGCAATTGAACCTGTTTGTTTTTACCCCGGTTAAAATATTTTACGTTCATTTATCCCATCCAGTTGAAAACTAATCTCTTTTAAGCCCATTCATTCAATCCATGGACGACCAAGTATGACTTTCCCTGTATATCTATCTATTTATCCTACTTATCTATCAATCTGTCTTTCTACTTTTCTATCTATCTACTCATCTCTCCCACTCAGTCTCTTTTTCTTCCTTACGTTCCATTAATGTACATACATATAAATCTTTTTGTTCGTATATACAGAGAGAAAGAGTGAGAAGCTGTGGCTGATTGAGCGCGTGTGTAAGTGTGAATAAATCACATAGAAAATAACTTCATCTCTCTTCCTAAATGATACAAAATAGGGTCGTGTTTTTTTCATAAACCAAAAATCTATTAATTGGCTAAAAGGAAAATAAAATTTCCTCTAATAGAAAAAAAGTTATGCCTATTTTTAGATAATACCCCATTACATAAATTAAACATGCAATTTTTTATGACACTATATACATACAAAGGCAACAAGCGAGAATGTACGCAAATAGAAAACAGTTCAATTTAATCCGTTCCGGGACTTTGTCGCAGGTACTTCACAGAGTACGCCTGAACAATAAACAATTGGCAGTGAATTTCTTGATTATTTTGATTTCCTTTTGGGCTTTGATACAATCAAGCCCCCCAGCTTATTGTATGCAAATAATGTTCGTTTTATGTAAAATATTCTTTTGAATTCAAGGTATTTTTTTATTTTTAAAATCAATAAAACATGTTAGTCCACAACTTTTATGACGTCAAAAAATGACGTCATGAAAAAATTCTATGGCGTAGATTACTATTAAGAATCTATGTATGTACAAAAAGATCGCAATGCTTGCAAAATTGCAATTGCAAAATCGATTACAATACTATTAGTACAATTTATTTCAAATTTATTAACAAAAAAATAATATTTTTTGAAAGAACAGACTGTAACCTTAACAACATGTACATAGTATTTATTTATAAGTTCTGATATTTGTAAAAAAAAACTTTCCAACATCAAATTGGCCTGTTTTCTTATTCGACGTATTATGATAAAGAAAGGCATGTATTTATTTTGTTACTTGTAACGTGATTTTCATGTTTGCAATTATTTATAAATTTATGACATTGTTTTTGTAAGTCCTAAACAAAAAATGTGTATTTCTTCTGGAATTACTACATTGTTAATCGTTTTTTGCCATTGTAGCGCCTTGAGAAAGACTAAATATATATACATTCATTAGAGTTCGTGGTCCGATTGAAGGAATAACTTTTTTTAATTAATTAATTTGTATGTAAGGTATTGGTTGAGATAAAGAAGTCAGTGTCACGATCGGGATTCGAACCCACGACCCTCGGCTAGATACGCCGCTGCTCTACCACTTGAGCTATCGTGACTTCGATCCCCTCGGGCACTAACGTCACATCTCAACCTCACCTTTTGAATTTTCCCTCCTTTTTGCCATTTTTCAAATGTCGTGTAATCGATCCTCGGCGACAAATGAAATGGCCACGGAGAGAGTGAATATATACTTTATTTTACATATTAAATTCATTAGAGTTCGTGGTCCGATTGACCGAATAACCTTTTTCAATTAATTAATCTCTATGTAAGGGTGAGATAAAAAAGGAGGGAAAATTCGAAAGGTGGGATTGAAATGGGAAGTTAGTGTCCGAGTGGATAGATGTCGCGATAGCTCAAGTGGTAGAGTAGCGGCGTATCAAGCCGAAGGTCGTGGGTTCGAATCCCGCTCGTGACACTGACTTTTTTATCTCAACCAAGACCTTACTTAGAGATTAATTAACTAAATATATAAAAGCTTGGCAATAAGACAAAACCTTGCTGTTTATCTTGACCACAAACCCGATAACTCAGAGCGTTGAATTAACTGGTTGATAAACGACATCGCTGAATAAAATGTAATGAAAGTTGACAAATTAGTAGGATTTTGAGAGGAGACGATCTTGTTTACTTAATTCAGGTTTAGATACTTTCTAATAATTTCTTGTTGTAATTTGTACAAATAATATTAAATAATTTAATTCAATAATTTTATATTATTTGTAATTAAATGCTTAAGCTGACATACTAAAAAAGATGTATACATTCACTATATTAAAGTATACAAACTATTTTCGGTATTGGTATGTCATATCACTCGTTAGGAAAAAGCAGTTCGATTTTATTTCCTAAACCGGAAGTACAAATTAATTTTTAAAACCCGTTATTTAATTAAGTGACGATAAAATTTAGCGGAAACGGGGGGAAATAATGTTCATAGCCGAGGCAGGGCGATAAAACGGGTCGTAAATATCTGAAACACGGCGACAAACGGATTAAAATAGGAAAAAATAATTCTCCTTAGTTGACTTTTGAGAAAAATTACGTTCATCATTAAAAAGATGATGGTTTAATAGCGATTACATTTTTAAAAAATCTCATTTTTAAAAATAGCCCTTCTGCATCCTAGGCTAATTTATCGGCGGTTGAATTTTAAAACCTCCTTTAATTTTCCTCAAGATATTCTTATTACTCAAAATATTCTTTAGTGCCTGAGATTTGTTGAATGTAATTTTGCTTCGGACATGGGTCGTTTGAGGGAGTAACAAAACGCCACGGCTGAATTTGGATTTGAAAACGGAGGAAAAGTAGGTCGTAATTTTTTTTTTTTTTTTTTGTGATTGCCGTGGAACAGTGTCTAAGGTCAAATTTGTCCGGAACCGATGCCGATCTCGTTTTCGACCCGGGAGAGAGAGAAACCGACCGTGAGGAATTAAGATTCTCTGGAGAATAGTTTCGCTTTGATTTTCCAAGTCGTAAAAATATTTTTTTCTAAAAATCATATCATATATTTTCAACGCGCGTTGTCCCACGTGTGAAAGGTTGTCAGAGGGGAATTAATCCTTTATCAACCCACTTCACCCCCCCCCGTTTTGAAACGTTACGACATCTATGTAAATTAGGTGAGAAGAAAGACAATGAAAATTTATGTTACGAAACATGTCTCTTTTATGAGAAAATTACCTCGCCTTCTGCATTGTATTTTAAATATAAAGCAGAGCGCATCAATCAAAGTGCATATAAGCAGTACACAACATGGCCATATACAACGATGATTCGATCTGCAGATTGTGTAACGAGGAGGAGGAAACAGCCACCCATACCATTTTCGAATGCGAAGCTCAATGGAGATTTAACCTAACATACGAAAAAAAAATCTAGGGAATGTAAGTGCAGGGACAGTCAATGGCCTGATACTTCTAAGAAGTAGGATTGAGTCTATTGCACTGAACTAGGAAGGTACAATAAGCCATAAGGCTGCAGTGCCTGGGGAGGACCAACTCCGCTTCCCAGTATCCTTATTACTAGAGCTGTGATTTATATGCAATAAAAACAGACAAATATGCACATATATATGTAAATATATTTGGTAAAAACTGCAATTTAATACTGAAAATATGCGAAAACTGCCATGAGAAAAAAATAAGGAAACATTAAATTAAAGCACATAATTGGAAAGAGAAACAGTGGCAAGAGGAACATCNCATTAAATTTTGACGTGCCAAATACCGATATGCCGGATATGTAAAAAAATATGCAGTTATAACCCACTTATGCAAAATTTTCATTTATGGCAATATATGCGCAAATATTCAAAATAAATATAGCTTAAATTGATTTCAAATGCTTCAAAACATATACAGTTTGTTAAAACTGGATATTTTAGTTAACCAGGAAAAATATGCAAATGCATATATTTCACAGCCCTAATTATTACCATACCATACCCTACCATGCATATAAGCAGCCTATTTATCCATTGACTAAAAAGTAGGTTTTTCTTTTTCCCGCTTAACGTATCTTTTCAATAGTACAGATAATTTAAATGCAGTTTCTTTTTTAATAGTCAACCGTTAGAAAACCGCACTGTAATATTTTCATCCAGGCCAAACAAATCTCGGTGCACGCCCACAGAATTGGATAATTCAGGACCATTTGGCTTTCTCCAAGGTAGCTGAATACATTGTTGTGTAGAAGCTAATTCCATGTTGCTAATCTTATAAGAATCGGATTCCGACGGTTTGAAATGAAATCACAAATAGAAATGAGGTCTCATTTCGTAAAGATGTAAATAATAACAACTGTGAAAGGCGATTTCTTCAATCTATCGAAAGTGTATCGAGATTGTACTGTGAACTATTTATCCAGCGAGTAAATATGATGATGTATAATATATCATTCCAAAGGCGGTTTTTATAATTTTCTTCCTCGTTTCTTCAGGATTTCACCTTCCGCAAGACCTGTTTCTCCCTTGCAACCCCCCCCGGGTTCGCCCAGAGATTAATATCTTCCATGCGTGTTCGCAGAGTTTTGCGCCCCGACATTAATTTATGTACAATTTTTTTTCTCCCCCTCCCGCCG